CGGTCTGCGAGAGGCTGCCTGCCTCTGCGCCTTGGCTGGTGAGCGCGAAAGCGTTGTGGCTTTTGTTCTGTTTGCGCTTCCCTGTGCAAACAGAAGTGTCTGTTCTCAAGTGCGGAAAGAGCACTTAGTAGTTCGGCAAATATTTGCGTTCAGTTTCCCGATGCTGGGACCATATGCCCCGCTGGCACGTTGCTCGGATCTGCTGCGTGAGGATGAGCCGCTTGAGTTCTCCCCGGGCAGTTGGGGGGAAACGTCCCGGAGCCGAGGGACAGGGCACAGCCCGGCTGTTCGTCAGCTCCTTGCCTCTGCCTTTCCTTACAAAAGCGCCTCTCTGTTATCCTCCCCTCCCTCCCGGCGATGTTATTACAGGCATGGCTCCGTGGCTTTTTCCCCCTCTTCCCTGCTTCCGATGGCCCTGTCGTTGCCTGCCCCGCTTGGTGCCGGGGGTGGCAGGGTGCCGGTCGGTGCTGCACCGTGCCACCTCTGCGCCCTGGGAGCCGAGAGCCTTGCCAGACCCTGGGGGTTGTGATGTTATTGTCTCTGTCCAGGCACTGATTCCTTCTCTGCTTTGCGAGAGGGACACGGGCACGTGAGCGCAGCAGCATGAGGCTGTGGGCTGCGGGGAAGTGCCCGCCTGCAGCCAAAATCCCTGCCGCGGGGTCCCGCGGGGTCCCTGCCGCCGACGGCAGCGTACGGACGCTCCCGGTGTCAGCTAGCGAGAGGCTGCTGAAAACGGGCCGTCGTCTGCAGGCCCTTGTGACTGCTCCCTCCCTGCGGCTGTTTGGGGAGATCAGCTCTGTGTGCGGTGTTTCAAAAATGCGAGTTTTGCCATGGCAACAGGCAGCGTGGAGGAGGGAAGCCGGGCAGAGATAAGAGCGGTCCATCTGGCTCCCCGCCGAGCTGGGTTTATCTGCAGCTCCCTGGCAGGGTGCTGAGCGCTGGCACGGGCGCCCCGCTGTGAGACGAGTCAAGGGGCGGAAGAAGGATGTTCAGGTGGAGCTGAGGGACTCTTCCATGTGCGTTGTTGGGCCACCTTAGATGGGGAGCAGGGAGAGGGGCAGAAATAGGGGTTTAATGGGCAAAGGCAAGGAAAGGCGCCCCCGGATCCTTCTGCATAAGGTGATGCAAGAAATCCCTAGGAAACATAAGCGCTTCCTGTGCAGAGATCCTGTCTGTCCGAGGATCCCACAGCACTTCCCAGAGGTGAAGATCAGAGCCTCCTGCCCCGGTAAGAAGGAAACATCTAGAGGCCATTTTTTTAATAGAGACAGCCAGGAAAGTTATGGCATGTCGGCTAAAAGCATGTCAGGACACTTCTCCTAACGCCGAGCGGCCCTTGATGAGCATCGCTTAATCTCCGTAGGTACGCAACAGCTACAAATCCGTCAGGGACCGGAGAGCTGACTCGGCACGGCCCGAGCGTGTGCCTGTGCCGGGTCTCATCCGCTGCATCAGGGAAGCAGAGCCCCTCCGGAGCTGGAGGGGGTATCCTGGATGGGATGTCCCCTTTGGAGCTGGACAGGGTATCCTGGCCGGGGTGTCCTGGCCCAGGTGTCCCCTCCGGAGCTGGCTGGGGTGTCCTGGACAGGATGTCCCCCCCCTGGAGCTGGCCGGGGTGTCCTGGACGGGATGTCCCCCCTGGAGCTG